CCTTCTGAGAGTGGGATCCTGACTGGGAAATACTGGACTGTCCTGGGAGATGTCCTTGATGCTGGCTCTTCCTGAGGCAACGTGAAGAAAGGGTAGAGAGGGAGAAGGAGACAGAAAGAGCAGGAAGGAGAGGAAGTGAGGAGGGAAGGGAAGGCAAGAGAGAAGGGGGAGAAAGAGTGAGGACATAGCCCTGTCATCACGTCAAGGCTCACAACCTTTCCCAAACAAACCTGCCAGACACTTTCCCAGTGGGCCACAAAACGGTTTCAGGTTCTGCATTCGCTCTGTCCATCTGTACAGAGGACGGTCAGGAAATGGGCAAAGACTTTGCACATGGAGCCAAGAAGTAATTGAGTTTGTTTTTGTGAGAAAGGAAATGTTTTTGTGTATATGCAATGTGCTTGCGTGTATATGCAATGTGTTTGCGTGTATATGCAGTGTGTTTGCGTGTGTATGCAATGTGTTTGCATGTGTATGCAATGTGTTTGCGTGTGTATGCAATGTGTTTGTGTGTGTATGCAATGTGTTTGCGTGTGTATGCAATGTGTTTGTGTGTATATGCAATGTGTTTGCGTGTGTTTGCAATGTGTTTGCGTGTATATGCAATGTGTTTGCATGTGTATGCAATGTGTTTGCGTGTATATGCAATGTGTTTGCGTGTGTATGCAATGTGTTTGCATGTGTATACAATGTGTTTGCGTGTATATGCAATGTGTATATGCAATGTGTTTGCATGTGTATATGCAATGTGTTTGTGTGTATAGCGAGCCTATTGTCTCTACTCCACACAGTGCTGGAGTCGTAGGTGCCTGCATGACCATACTCAGCTTACTGTGTGGATGCTGGAGACTTGAACTCAGGTCCAAATGTTTGCTCAGCAAGCATTTTAACTCACTGAGCCATCTTTCCTACCACTGAGATTCTGTAGGAACAAACCCCGAGGTCTTTCCTGTGGCTTCCCCTCATTTCTGAAAGGTGAATGTGGGACTCGTGCCCCCCTAAACCCTAACTGTGTTAGACACAGGAACCATAACACCGATGGCAGTCAGCCCCAATGAAGTTAGGGCTTAGAAGAACGCATAGCAGGTGGGGCTGCTCAGCCTGCAGCGGGCAAGGGACCATGGAGAGCGGCAGGAGGCAGAGGAGGCTGTCTATCTCAGATCAGAGAAGGGTGAAGCACGGGCTAAGCTCTTCTGACCCTCCTGACTGCAGCTGTAAACAAAGATAAATAAACGGAGCCATAGGTAGTTCAGGTTGTACATCGCTTGGCCGGCATGGAGAAGGGCCCAGGTTCATCCCCAGCAATGCGTAAACCAGGTGTGGTGTACACACTTGCAATCCCAGGAGGATCGGGAGTACAATGCCATCCTTGGCGACATATTTTGAGGCCAGCCTGGACTTTATGAGAGGGGACAGATGTGGAGATATATGTTTGCAGTTCCAGGGCCAGAGACAGATAGTACCGGACAGCCAGCCTAGCCTGTTTGGTGAGATCCAGGCCAGTAAGAAACCTTTTCTCAAAATGTATCTCAGACATCATATATGCATGCAAAGAGATACATATCCAAACACATGTGTACACATACCACATGTACATATATGCCATTCGCACACACATACCAATTAGCTAATAGTTTTTTTAAATAAAGATGAATTAAAGGGTGGGGCTGTCACCGTGGTAGAGCCCCTGCCTGATGTATGCAAGGCAGTGGGGTTCGATCCCCGAACTACATGGCTATAGGGGGAGGGGTGCTGTGTAGAATTATTGTGTTCCATAAATGACATCACACTATACAGACCATTCTACAACTTATGAAGCTTGCTTACTGCTATCTCCACATCTGGAAGCGTGCAGAGCCTACACTTCTGTGCATGTTCCGAGACCTCTCCCAGCAAAAACTTCTAAAAAGCATTTCTGAACAAACTGCAAGTGATAAAATCATAGACAAACATTTGTGTGTGTTTGGAGAATCCTTCTAATAGACGCTTCTAAAAAATATTTCTGAACAAAAGGAAGGCAGTTAAGTTCCATGTAAATTTGTGTTTGTGTGTGTAGACGTTTCTGTGTGTGTGTTGCACGTGTGTGTGTGTTTAGTTGTACAGCCCTTTGTGTGCACACAGGTATTGGGCAGAAGTCAAGATCAGATGTCTTTACCACTCTCACTCTCTACTTTTTTGTCTTTGTTTCTCGGGACAAGGTCTCTCTGCACAGCCCTGGCTGTCCTGGAACTAGCTCTATGGACCAGGCTGGCCTCAAACTCAGAGATCCGCCTTCCTCTGCCTCCTGAGGGCTGGATCTAAAGGCAAGCGCCACCACCGCCTGGCTTCAACTTTACTTTTCTGAAGCAGGGTCTCTCACTAAATCTGGAGCTAATGACTCTGCCAGCCTCACTGACCAGCAAGTCCCAGGAATCCTCCTACCTCAGCCTCCCAAGCACTAGCACTGCAGTCGCACGCTGAAGATCCATCCAAACCACCTCCCTTACCCCAGCAAGCAAATTTTGGCAGAGAAAAAGGATCCACTGTCCACGAAGCATCCGCAGCTCCCAGCACAAACTGTTCCGGTCTCCTTGCTGTAAAATGCTGATAAAATTCTTGTTCATGGTTATTGGGTCTAGTATCTACTTATCCAAAGTTGGCTGAATCCAAGAGATGCAAATCTACACATCAGGGAAGGTGTGTGTGTGTGTGTGTGTGTGTGTGTGTGTAACTCCAGACCTCTGCTTTAGTCTCAGGACTCTCTGTATAACAGTTAAATTACACACACACAAAACTACTTCCCAAGTCAGGCACAACATACATGCCTTACTGTAATCCTAGCTACTTTGGAAGTTGAGGCAGGGGGATCAGAAGAGTGAGGTCAGCCTGTGCTATACAAGTTCAAGACCAGTCCACACACTTTAATGAGACTCCATCTGAGCTAAAGAGAGGGCTCAGTGAATAGGAGAGCTCGCTGTACAAGCATGAGGACCGGAGCTTGAATCCCCAGCATGCATGTTCAGTTGTTCCAAAATGAAATCATGGCTCACACTATACAGAATGTTCTATGACTTCCAATGCGTGTTTCCTGCTATCTTCACATATGGAAATATGCAGTCTACACTTCTATGGGTGTTTGGAGATCTCTCCCAATAGAAGCTTCCAGAAAGAATTTTCCAACAAAATAAAAGCAATAAAATTGCAAGCAAACTGGCAATAGGACTTGGGACCTAGTTCTTGGCTTTCATAACGGTAGGGGAGCAATAGAACACGTCCGAAGAAAGAAGATGGGAGTCGCCCCTGCGTGCTGCCAATGAACTTAGAGAGTGAGGACTTCAGTTAAGAGACGGTGTGTGTGTGTGTGTGTGTGTGTGTGTGTGTATACACGTGCATGTGAGTGCAGTTTCCTCAGAGACCAGAGGAGGGCCTCAAATGCCCTGAAGCTGGAGATACAGGAGATTGCGAACCCCATGCCCTGGGTGCTGGGACCCCAACTCTGGTCTTTTATTAAGAGCAGTAAACCAGTATTTTAGTACTCTCTTGCGGCTCTTGAACTGATGTAAGGATGAAAACTTATGTCGTGGCGCCGGTACAGGTGTGAAGATTGGAGATACCGTCAAATGGGAACGCTAAACTCAGTAAGATTTATTTGGTTGCTTTTCGTTTTCTTTGGGAATTCAAAAGCTTGCAAGACTGAGCGTTAAGCCATCAGGGGAGGCCAGCGCGCCACCTGGCGGTAGATGGAAGCAGCGGGCGGGTCCAGGCACTAAGGGTTGAGTGACCCCGTGCCTCCTCCATCCCCACACCGAAGCCTTGGGATCCAGGCGGGTACCACGTCCCAGAGTGAATGGGCAGTCTCAGCCAAGGTGGCCTCAGGCCGCAAAGACCAGATAAAATGGCCTCTCTAGTGTCGCCAAGTGGCCAAAAGGACTCACTGCCTTGGTAACTCTGGAAACTGTGGAACAAAAAGCCAAGGCCGCACAGGTGAGCCTGGCAACTTGGTGGAGGCTGAACTTGGTGGAGTCTTGTGAGTGCGAGGAATTCTCTCTACGACTCCCGAATGCAAGTTGGTACCATCTCCATTCGAAGCCCCGGGCTGAGGGGCAAGAAAACCAGGACGGGAAGAGACGGAGTGGGCGCGAACGGAGACCACCAAAGCCGGGGCGATGCGTTCCCAGCACCCCTCTAACACAAGTTGGCTCCCAGGCCTCCTTAGGCCTGGGGTTTCCAGCACAAGATCGCAGTATTCGCTCCCACCCCCTGATTCTGACCACAAAGCTTCCACCGTCGTGCGTTCAGGCCATCCCGAATACACAGGCCTGCATCCGCAGCACCGGTATCTCGGAGGCCACCCCACTGTACCCTATTCTAGCTTTCAGGCTCCACACCCCAGGCCTCGTGCTCCAAGCCCGATGTCCCTCCATCCCGATCACTGGGCCACTACGCCTCATAATCTCCTGGTGCGTACCCAAACTCGGAGGGCTCAGTGTGGAGTCACAGCGCCTTGGATCAAGCGCGCACTGGCTCCAAGTCGCACGCCCCTGTGTCCTGAGTTCCCTGACACCGAACCACAGCGCTTCGAAGTCCTCACTGTCCCTCGATCCAGCTCCTGCGTCCCCAGCACCCAGACACCGCGCCTTGGAGTTCCCACTGTCTCACGTTCCATCTCTGCAGAGCCCCAAGCCCCGTGCCTTGCAACCCCAACAACAGGCCACCGCTCCTCAGATCTCCTGTTGTCTCTGGATCCGGCCCTCACGCCTTCGAGCCTCCCAACCCTCGACCACAACTTCTCTGTGACCCTTAGTCTCTCTATGCAGTCCTTGGTCCTCTATCCCACTCCCCACCCCAGCACCGGGCCAATGCTCCTCACAGTCCCCGATGTCCCTGAATCCAGTCCCCCCCCCCCCCGCCCCTGAGGCCACTGTCCTGTGTCCCCAGTACCCGACCACGGCTCTTGCAAGCTCCGGCTGTCCCTAGATCCAGCCATCGCTCCCCCAGGCCCGGCGCCTGGCGTTACTCACCGGCGACTCGAGTAGCTGTTGCCGGGGGAGCCGGCGCCCTGCTCCGGGTAGCCGTGCTGTTGCAAGGCTGCTGCCGGGAACTGGTAAAGGAAACCGGTGGCCAGCGCCGAACCGCACAAGCAGCAGCACGCCCATGGTAACAGCAAAACGAGCTTCATTTTGTACCACTCGCCCGCGGGGACCTGGAGTCCCGGGAGCTGGGGACAATCAGGCGTGCCCCGGACGGCTGGACCGATCCTGCGGCCCCAGGCTGGAGCGCAGGGAGCCAGCCGGTGATGGTGTGAAGGCTGGGTCTGAGGTGGAAGTCGTCTGGGGGTCGCCCACGCCTCTCCAGGACCGCCTTTTCAAATTCAGCGAGGTGGGCTCTGCGCAGTTAAAGGGGGCGTGGGTCTTTCTTTTTAACCCTCAGAGGTCCAGGGCTGAGGAAGCGTCTACCAAGCTGGGGGCGCCCCAGGAGGCGCATCCTTCTGAACACCAAATCTTACATCCCCAGGGCCCTTAATATACTTTTTGAACTTTCCATACCCAGGTGAGAAAAACATCCAGGTTTCCACGAAGCCGCACCATCTAAGATCCTTATCGGCTCCATTTTTCAGAAATGGAACCTTAGTTAGGCTCAAGGAAAGTTAAGCTAGGTAGATGGCTCTGTGGGTAAGAGTGTGTGCTACAGAGTGTCTGCAGAGACTTGAGTACGAATCCCCAACACCCATGTAAAAAGCCAGGCATGGCCTCTGACCCCATCCCACATCCCCCAGTCCGAAGAGTGGGAGCAGGAAGATCCCTGGGGCTTTGCCATCCTCTGACCTAGCTCCAGGTTCAGTGAGAGAAACCCTGTCTGAAGGTGGAGAAACTAAGAGGAATAGGGCAGATCACCTATGCTTTTCCCTGGCCTCCACACACCCATGTGTATGCACGCGCATAACACACACACACACACACACACACACCTTCAGCCAAGACCCCACAAACTGATCGTGAATTTTGGGGTCAGTCTAAGCAGCAAAATGAGCCAGAAAAAACAAATGGAGTTCCTTCTCTCACTGTAGCACCCACAGCACAGACCAGCTGACAGCAGCGTGGAGCTTTCCTGTCTTCTTCACTATCTTAGGAGCTGAGGGAAGGCTCGAAGACAGTGTCTTTCAAACCCAGGGGAGGAGGGGACTGTGACCTAACTATGTATTGGACTTAGCCAGTGCCCACAGAACACACTGAAGATTCCTTTGGGAAGAGGCACTGGTACTCCCCATAATGCAGGTTCTCCAAATCATCAGGCCTCCGGGGAGAGATGGATGGAGTGTAAGAAAGGACACTAGGTCTAAGACATTAATCCCACGAAGGGGCTCTCCATTCTGCCATGACTAACCTGGCTTCCAAGACTATCGCGAACTCATGAAGGGTGGACATTCCACAGAATAAGACGGAGCAGGGCTGAACATGGTGGTGCTTGCTTGGGAGGCAGAAGCAAGAGGAGCCTGGTCTGTAGCATGACTTGTTTTGTAACAAGCAATACAACTAAGTCAGGAGACAGGATGGGCAATTTAGGAAAAGAAGGTGAAGAGAGATGAGTGTGATATATTTGGGTACCCACACAAGAAGGTACCTATGGGTTGCGTATCTATGGGATAATATTGGACCAGATAGCAAGTGTAGTGTGAATTCTAATTGGTCTTAATAAGAAAAACTCAGAGTCAGATATTAGGTGGTGAAAGCTGAAAGACCACAGAAGTAGAGCAGCCAGACACTAGTTCTTACCTCTACTGAATCCTCAGGCCTAAGGGGCAATCCTGCCTCTGTAAGTCCTCAGACTGAACGCTTTGAGCACTTGTCTCCTCCCTGCCTTATATTCCTCTCTCTGCCCAGCCATATCCCTTCCTGTCTCCACCTCCCTAGTGTTGGGATTAAAGCCACATGACTCCCAAGTACTGGAATTAAAGGTGTGAGACACCACCGCCTGACTCTGTTTCTCTTTGAGATAGGATCAATCTCGTGTAACCCAGGGTGGCCTTGAACTCTCAGAGATCCACCTGCCTCTGCCTCTGCCTCTGCCTCCCAAGTGCTGGGATTAAAGTTGTGTGCCACCACTCCCTGGCCTCTATGGCTAACTTGTGGCTAGCTCCATACTCTGATCTCCAGGCAAGCTTTCTTTGTTACAGCACAAACAAATATCACCACGAGCAAGACACCCGAGTGGGCTGCCCACCATACTTTATTAACAACAGTGCTATAGCCAGATGATGAAGTGATGCTAATTCCAACCTCAAGCAACGGGGATGAGACTTTGAGTCCAGCCTGGGCTATACAGCAAGACCCAGTCTCAAAGAAGGCACCGAAGATGTAGCTGCTATACAGAATCCCCACCCCCAGCAAGGTGCTGGAATGTGGTAGAGCCCCTGCCTAGAATCCCCCAGTGAGGGGTTAGGGTATGGCTCAGTGGTAGAGCACCTGCCTAGATCCCCCAGTGAAGGGGCTGGGGTGTGGCTCAGTGGTAGAGCACCTGCCTAGAATCCCCCAGTGAGGGGCTAGGGTGTGGCTCAGTGGTAGAGCACCTGCCTAGAATCCCCCAGTGAGGGAGGGGCTGGGGTGTGGCTCAGTGGTAGAGCACCTGCCTAGAATCCCCCAGTGAGGGAGGGGCTGGGGTGTGGCTCAGTGGTAGAGCACCTGCCTAGAATCCCCCAGTGAGGGAGGGGCTAGGGTGTGGCTCAGTGGTAGAGCACCTGCCTAGAATCCCTCAGTGAGGGGCTGGGGTGTGGCTCAGTGATAGACTGCCTATTTAGCATGTACAAGGGTGTAGATTTGAGCCCTAGCAACACAATGCACAAATACACACACACACACACACACACACACACACACACTACAATCCTTTTGCAAAATCTACTGTAATACCTTAAGCACAGGTGTGTTCTGCAGCTTCTCCATCACAGACACCTTACAGACTTGGCAAGGTCAGAACATCTCAGAGCTTGCTCAACCCTCAGGACAATACCAGGACAGCCAGTAAAGGCTTTCACCCTGTGGAAGTAGAGCACAGGCCAGGTTTCCTGTCCCATCTGGTGTCATACAGGGTACAGTCCCACACAAATCAACTCAGATGAGACCTGGAGCCCAGTGTCTCCATCTGTAAAACATGTCTTTGGGGAAGGCAAGATGGCTCAGTGGATAAAGGTATGTCATGCCAAACATGACACCTGAGTTTGGTCCTCAGGTCTCACACAGTCGATGGAGAGAAGTAACTCCAGCAAGCTGTCCTCTGGCCTCCACATGTGGACCACGGCACATCCGTGTGTGCACACACACACACACAATTCAAATGCAACTAAAAATAAAGTGTACCGCAATAGAGGAAGGCATCTACCATCAACCTCTGGCCTCCACACACATAAGCACATCCACAGGAGGACACATAGGCCACACGCAGAGACACAAGAACAAGCTTTTTAGGTAATCTTGTAACTCAGTTGTGCCGTTCTCCAGCATGGACTTAGTAGATGACAATGTCATGTTTTGACGTCAACCATCTTCTCCTGTCTCCAAGACAGCTGTGGATGCACACAACGATTTAAAGTTGCTCCCCCTCCTTTCTCTCATCGCTCCCAACCCCAAGACAAAGAGTTCTCTGTGTAACCCTGGAACTAACTATGTGGCCCAGGCTGGCCTCGAACTCAGAGCTCATGAGTGCGGGGATTAAAGGCATGCACCACCACCGCCTGGGTCTGACATTGCTCCTCCTGAAGGAGGTTTTCCAGATGCAGCACCAGCCAGCAGCGGTGGATGAGAGAGCAGGGAAGGCATGATGACATCTGCCTGTCTGCTCTCCCTCCCCCAAAGAGAACACCTGCTGCTGCACCCATTCCACAGCACCCCCTGTGTGACTTTAGATAAGTCACTCAACCTCTCTGAGCATCCTCATCTAGGAAATCAAAAGATTAATCACAGTAGTTTTGTGCAAATGTCATAATGAAATCCATGATTTTGTTTATCAACTGATAAAAATTAACTTAGAAACTAACAACAACAACATTGGGCTGGGGCTGTAACTCAGTAACTGACGGCTTACCTAGCATGCGCATAATCTTGAGCTGTGATCTCCATACTGCATGAACTAGGCATGGTGACACATGCCAGAGAAGGAGACATGCCAGGCTTGGTAGCACACAACTTTAATCTTGGCACCTGTGAATTCAAGTCCAGCCTGGTCTATAGAGCTAATCCCAGGACAGATACACAGAGAAATCTTACCTCAAAAAACCAAAAAACCAAAGGAAAGAAAGGAAGGAAGATGGAAGGAAGGAAGGAAGGAAGGAAAGAAAAGAAATGGAGATGAAGACAGGAATGTCAGGAGTTCTGGGTCATCCTTGGCCTGCCTGGGTTACCTTTTCTCCCTGAAGCAAAAATAATATGAACAGCATCTAATTCATAAATTTGCTGAAAGCATTAAATGAATTATTCAAACGATGCACTTGGAACCATGTGCCTGAAATAGTACAACCATCCATAAATACTAACGAGTATTAATTAACGGAAGCACACCCGGTTTCTCAGATCCCCGTGGATGGCAACAGACAATAGACTCAGAGGCAGAAGGCAGGCTTTCTCTCTCAGAGGACCAAGCTTAATGCATCTTTTGTGTGTGCACGGTACTGGAAATTGAATGCAGCAGGGCTTTGCTCATGCAACACAAACACTCTACCAGTTGAACTATATCCCGAGCCCCTGGTACATCCTTGTTGCTGTGTGGAGAATAATTTAAAATAAAATTTCGTTTTGAAGAAAACACAAGCCAGGCATGCTGGTACACATCTGCTGTAATCTTAGCGCTCAGGAGACAGAAGCAAACAAAACGCATAAATCCTATGGAGGAGAAGATGCGATTCGTATGACTTTCCGTGTTGTTTTTCTTTCCACCATGTAGCTCCCAGGCATTAAGCCGAGGTGGGCAGGCTTGATGGCAAACACCTTTATTCCATGAGCCACCTCTCGGGTCAGAATTCTATTAAAAGATAAAGTAAAGCGGTGTGCGGTGGTGCATGCTTGCAATCCCAACACTTGGGGGTTGAGAAAAGGTCAGGAGTTCCGGGTCAGCCTCAGGGACGCAGTGAGTTCAAGGACAGCCTGAGCCATGGAGGACTGTCTTAGAAAAAAATAATAAAAAAAAAGTAAATTAAAAACTTTAAAAAATTAAGAATAAACTCTCTAAGGGTTGGACAGAAATTTAGGGACATTCCGGCAGCC